GCAATCACTTTCTTCATTCTTTCAAGATAAAGAAATAAAAGGTATCCAAATCAGAAAGAAAGAAGTAAAATTGTCTATCTTTGTAGATTATATGATCTTATATAGAGAAAATCCTAACAACCAAAAAACTGTTGTAACTAATCAATAAATTTAGTAAAGTTGCAGGATATTAAATCAGCATGCAGAAATAAGTGTGTTTTTATACACCAACAAAATAACTGAAAAGTAAAACAACTTCACAATATCAACAATAATAAAACGGGAATAAATTTAACCAAGGAGGTGAAAGATCAGTACACTTAAGACTAAGACTTTGTTGAAAGACATTGAAGAAGACACAAACAAAAATGAAAGATATCCTGAGTTCATAGAACAGAAGAAATAATATTGTTAAAATGTTCATACAACCCTAAATCATCTATAGATTCAATGTAATCCCTATCAAAATCCCAATGGCATTTTTCACAAAAATACTTTAAAAATCCTAAAATTTGTATAACCCCCAAAGACCCCAAATAGCCAAAGCATTCCTGAGAAAGGACAAAGACTGAGGCATCATACTTCCTGATATAAAACTATAATACAAAGCTATAGTAAGCAGAACAGTATGGTACTGTCATAAAAATAGACACATAGAACAATGGAATGTAATTGAAATCCCAGAAATAAACAGCCCAATGTATGGTCAAGTAAAACATGGCAAGGAAGCTGAGAAGACTCATTGGGAAAAGGGTGGTCTCTTTAATAAATGGTGCTGGGAAAACTGGATAACCATAGGCAGAAAAATGAAACTGGATCCTTATCTTACATCACTCACAAAAAAGTAACTCATCATGAACTAAAAACTTAAACAGAAGATCTGAAACTGTAAAACTAGAAGAAATTTAGAGGAAAAGCTCTTTGATGTTGGTTTTGGCAACTTTTTTTAGTATGGCACCAAAAGCACAAGCAGTAAAAGCAAAAATCAAAAAGTAGGACGACATCAAACAAAGTGCTTCTGTCTAGCAAAAGAAATAACAAATGAGGAGGCAATGAGAAAATATTTGCAAAACCTATCTGGTAAGCAGTTCATATCTAAATATATAAAAACTCATACAACTCATTAAAAAATCGAATGAAAAAATAGGCAGAAGAACGAACGGATAGGCATTTTTCTCAAAGACGTACAAATGGTTAACAGGTACATGAAAAGATGCTCAACATCACTAATCATCAGGGAAGTGCAAATCAAAACCACAATGAGATGTAACCTCATACCTTCCAGATTGGCTACCATCAGAAAGACAAAAGATAAATGTTGGCAAGGATGTAGAGAAAAGGGAATCCTTATGCACTGTGGCTGGGAATGTAAATTGATGTAGCCACGATGGAAAACAATATGGTGGTTCCTCAAAAAATTAAAAATAGAGCTACCAAATGATCCAGGCTTCACATTTTAGGTATATATCCAGAGGAAAAGAAAACAGATCTGCAAGACATATCTGCACTCCCATATTTATTGCTAAGTGAAATAAATCAGAGAAAGACAAATATGATATCTCTTATATGTGGGATCTGCAAAAAGCCAAACTTATAGAAACAGAGAATAGAATGGTGGTTACCAGGGGCTGGGAGATTGGGGCAATGGGGATATGTTGGTTGCTCAAAGCATACAAATTTCCTGTTAGAATATAAATTCTGGGGATCTGGGGATCTAATGCACAACATAGTAATTGAAAGGCTTAGAGTGGGCGGGGTCACACACCTATGACATGAGGCCATAATGTATCAAAAGAACTTTTATTTCAGGCACCTGGGTGCAGGTGGACTGAGTCCAAAAAAAGAATCAGCGGTGACTGAAGGGAGAGGCAGGTTTTTATTCGCTTCTACTGGCTCTAAGCAGTTCTGCTGATGTACAGAGCTTGACTGACGGATCCCATCTTTCCTTGGTTCCTCCCGGTGTCAGATGTCAAGTAGTTATCTAGGCTATGCAGAGCTCAAGGCTGCAAGCTTTCTGCAAGGTATCTGCTAAGCACAATAACTTTCCTCTGCCCCCGTTTTATTCTCTGTAACCCTTTCAGTAATAATAGTTAGCAATACAGTATTATATACTTGAAAGTTTCTAAAAGTAGATTTTAAATATTCTCACTGAAAAAAATAAATGGTCTTTGAGGTGCCAGCTAATGCTACAGTGGTCACCATTTTACAATATCTGAGTGTATCAAATCAACACACACACCTTAAACTTACATAGCGGTATATGTCAATTATATCTCAACTAGTGGTGTGGTGCACGGATTCATGCACATTGAAAGGAAATTAATTAGAAGAAAGATTTGTGTGGAAATTACATTACTGCAAAAAATTACATGTCAAAATAGTATATACAATATAGTATTATAAGATTAAAACATGCGTGCGATTGGTGCCAGTGAGAGCTTCATATGTATCACACATGCGCGAGTCAACATTTATTTTTAAATTGCCAGTGTGTGTCATATGCACCAGTTGGTCAGTCGGTCGACAGTCAGTCGGACATACAGTGGGTCACTGAACCTTTAATATATATAGATAAGGCTGACAAAAATTAGGAATACTAATATATTAAGTCTAAAGTTTTGCTACCTCAAAGTATCCTCAAACATCTCCATAGAAATTTAAATATTTTTCCAAAATACCTTCAAAAACCTATTTAATAGTACAACACAATTCAGTCCATGATATACTATTGGCAATTTAATGAAATGGAAAACACAGATTAAATATTCAACATACTGTGAGATTTCAAAATGAATGTTAAATATAGCTATTTCCTTTCCCCATAGAATTTTTTTTCTTAAATTTACCAGTGAGATACATGGATATAGAAAATCCAAGGAAATCACGAATCTTATTTTAATTATTTATATTTAAACTAACCTGTGTAAAGGATGGGGAAATTATGAAAATAGAATTAGAAATCTGAGAACTTAAAATTACATAAAATAGATTTTAAAGTTATTTGAATAGCAGATGCTTTCATTTCATGCTTAAAGTGTAGAAAAAACAAATATCAATGCATAATTCATACAAATGGCCATCCAAATCACTAAACAACCCTATAGGGAATGTTACTAGAAGGACTGATTTCCATTCTTTTATGTGATAAATCCTTAATAATGTGATTTTATTTTAATCAAAACAAGAAATAGGAAGAAGAGCGATGACAACCCAAAGCAGTTTTATTGTAATGTTGATTTATATCCATGTATAAAACTTCTGTATTATGATTGCTGACATTGATTTGGGAAATTCTTTAGGAGGGTTCTTCCCATTTCCAGGGCATTTTAGCTGGGTATATTTCCTATGTTATAAATTTTCTTGTCAGAGTGCTTCACATGTATTTTTTCCTCAGTTTTCTAGTGGGGAAAACTGAGAACAGCAATGAGTTTTGTACTTCTGCTGTGGCCTCATTAAGGGTGCTTGGTGTAGTGTTCTGATTCGGCGAGCCTGGACCAGGAAGTGCTCAACCCTGTGGACTAGCTGCGTGACAGATGTGTCCAGACATCTGTATAAATTTGGATCTAACATTAGGCTAGAAGAACTTACTCCCTGTGGCATTGGAGCAAGAGACCAAGAGGGAAGTGGCTGAGTTCTTGACTCACTTGCTTCATGAACTTGAATAAGCCACTTAATTTCTGTTGTCTCAGTTCTCCAACTCAGGTGACAGAAATAATAGTCCTCCCCTGACTACAGTACAAAGCTGCCGAGAGCCCAACCAGATTAAGTGGTTACAGGTTTTATAAATCTGAAGGCATTTGGTGAGGATGGTGCTGATAAATTCAGGGCCTGTGCTCAGAGGGAGTTCAGCAAACATTTGGAGTGAAGCTATCAGCTCAATGGGATAGCCATAGCTTAGGGCAGGGACATGCCAGAGTGGAATCTAAACAAAATAAATTGACTGCTTTTGAAGCCCTTCCTTTATGAGGGTGGGTTTGTGATAGGAAACCAGTTTGCTTATGGTGGTGTGAGCTGTGCAGGGTGTGGCACAAATGACCTGCTACTTTTGTTTCCATTTTTTATTTCCAGGTTTCTGTGAGTTTCTCTCATCTTGTTTCCTGTTTTTCCTGAAAGCCCTAGTATATGAATATCTTTTTTCCTGCAGGTGTTAGTAACTTCTTTTATCCTTCCGGACATTCCCAGCAATCATTGTCTTTCATGTGGGTTCTATGACTTGGGTGAGTGATATATTAACAAAGGGACTTCTGTGTGGGCACTAGTATGAGGCATTCTTACTTGAAATGATGACATGGATTTAAAAATCTAGACAGTAAATTTTTAGAAGCTCAGTTAAGTTTTAAAAGCTCAGTTAAGTTTTAAAAACTATAATCTACAGTTGAATTCTGTTAAAACATAACTTTGTTGTTAAACTGATGCCACATCACCCTCAAACAACTGAGAAAGTGCATGATAGCACTACTTAAAAGAGCCTTATTATATATAACATGAATCTGCATGCATCTGTATGTTATTATACAAATATATACATACTAGAGGCCCGATGCACGAAATTCGTGCAAGGAGCTCGGCCCTCACAGCCTTGGCCCTCACAGCCCTGGCTTTGTCTGGAAGGTCATCTGGAAAGTCGTTCGGCTGTCCAGTCTAATTATCATATTATGCTTTTGTTATTATAGATATATTAATTTCTTTATGTCTTTGTGTTTCTTAATAGAACCTCATTAAAAAAATACACCTTTATTTAACTTAGAATTCATGTTTAGGGTATCCAATTTTTATGTCCTTGAGTTTTATACTATTTTTTCTTCCTTGACAAAAATTGTAGCTGCTTGGAGAAGTGACAACTCACCCTCAGTGTCACTCCTGGCTTCCCAGGCCGCTGGAACTACTGCTGCTCCAGAGGCCTCCCTGGGGACTACTCTGGGATGGAAATTCTCAGCCTCAACTGGAGTGGAGCAACACTAAGGAAAGAGAAAGAAAATGTAATTTTCCAAAGTCAACTTCTCATAGAATGGCCCTGTCTTCTTAAGGGTAACTCTCAGGACACTTCATACTGTTGAGAGGAGTTATACCAGCAAAGAGCCCTGCTATGTTGGAGCCTAAGCTCAACACAGGTACGAAGTCTTGAGAATTAAAATTTTAAAAATAACCTTTGTACATGAAAGCTTTTCAGCGATTTTTTAAAAAATATATTCCAGCTCCAAGTATTGTATATACTTCTCCCATTCAGAAAGAACTTTTCCCAAATCAGTAATTGCCATATTTGCTATTTATTTTAACTAAAGTCTACGCATATATTTTACATTTTCCAGATCATACATTGCTCCAAATAGAGAACCTTCAAGAAAATATGTTGGTAATAATTGAACAAATATTGATGTAATTTCACACATCATTTTTGGTAAACCACTGCTTAAAATTATAATAAATCCAGCCATCTTTGATCTTTGATCAAGCTAAGTATTCTTTGAACTTGCCCAAGTTTTGTTTTTGTTTTCTTTACCACTTATAGAAGGGAAGTTTGCTGGGTATATAAATTGTTTTTTAATTATTCTCCCACATTTTATGGAGAAGCTAAGGATTTATGTCATTAAACATGTTTATAAGGAAATCTATGAGATGAAAACTGTTACAAGAAGTCATGGTATTTTGGATATGTTATTCTTCTTAAGTAAAGTCTAAGTGTCCATAAAGAAACATTCCAACGAAGCATTGTGTTGGCATTTGTGGTTTGGATGCGATGGCATTCATCCTTCCTCCTGCTTTCATTCTAGACTCCTACAGTCTCTTCTCCACAAAGAGTTTCTTTAGTAACGGTAAGTCAAATGATGTCATTCCTTGTATGATGACTATGATGCAATGATGACCTATCTAACTCAGAATGAAATCCAGAATCCTTACTTTGGCTTAAGAACAGGGTTACCACCTAATTTATCATTCAAATTGGACTATTTTGCCAGTGAAAGAGGCCTTAAGAGTAATTACACCAGGACAACAGGTGTAAACCATGGTTATCCCAAGCAATTCAGGACATAGAGGCACCTAGAAGGCCCTAGCCAGGATCGCCTCAGACTCATGTTCTATCAGTGTCCTCTCTTCTCTCAGTCCTCACTTAGCTTCAGCCTCATTGACCTCCTGAATACTTTTCAAATATAACAGCATGCCCCAGTCACTCGGAATGTTCTTCCCTGAGATATCTGTGTATCTTGCTCTTTTCAACTTAATCCTGGTCTTTACTCAAATCTCATCTATTCTGAAGACCTTTCCTGACTCCTTCCTAAAATAGTATCCTTCTTCCCTTGTTTACTTACTCTCTTGCCCTGCATTATTTTTCGACATAACACTTATTGCATCCTGACATAGTTATATATATATATAATTTTTGTTTTCTAATTGGTTATGTTTCTACTACGATAAAACAAGCCCCATCAGTGGATAAACTTTGTTTTTTTATTGATGTGTGCCTGGCATCTAGAACAGTGTCCAACACTTAGTAGGTATTTAATCATACTTGATGAATGAACAAACGAATACCTGCAATGGAAATAAGTTGTTGGCTAGAATGGGCTGTCTTAAGAGGAAAGAGCAGCTTCAGTTTACTGACAGATGGCAACTGAGAATGCTTGTATTCCACAAGGGTAATGACCCTCACAGGCAAATGAATGTCTTTACTAAGATCAGAGAGGTGCCAGGAGGAATGTTACAAGATATAAAGAATGAGTTAGGGAACATTTTGGCTGAAGCGAATGGTAAAGATGATACTCTAGAAGAAAATGATGACTCCCAGAGATGTTTTTACCATCTGATTATAGTGAGATTATTTCCTCTCTGGTAATGCATATTTTATGTCTTTCTAATATATTTAATCCATTTAAGTAGCCTACCATGCTTTAGGTCAACTTAATTTTAAAATTGTATTTCAAATTTTTGATACTATTAGTTTTAGAAAATCTCTTAATAGATTTGTTATCTTATAATTAATAATATTTAACTATCAGAACATCACTTATATGCCAGGCATTATTTTAAGTGTTTTACAAATACTATCTTACTTGCCGAAACCGGTTTGGCTCAGTGGAGAGAGCGTCAGTCTTTCTAATATATTTAATCCATTTAAGTAGCCTACCATGCTTTAGGTCAACTTAATTTTAAAATTGTATTTCAAATTTTTGATAGTATTAGTTTTAGAAAATCCCTTAATAGATTTGTTATCTTATAATTAATAATATTTAACTATCAGAACATCACTTATATGCCAGGCATTATTTTAAGTGTTTTACAAATACTATCTTACTTAATCCTCCCAGCAACGCTATGTGATGTTGGTATTCCCATTATCCACAATTTGCAATAAAGACACTGAGGCACAAAGAGGTTAAGTCAGTCTAACTTCAGAGCCCCATTGCCTTTGCCATATTGTGTAATTTATTTGTGGTTATTGTTTTATAATCATCCTTAGTTTATTATGCCTGTTAGTCTCTGTATTCATATAGACACCCTGAAAGCACTCCCTGATTTCTCTGGCAAATTCTGAATGTAACCTTTTGTGATTCCATCTAGTTAAACCACTACGAGTTGTTTTTCCCTTAGCTGTTATTACAGTGGATTTTTATCTTGGTTATTTAATTCATTGTTTATGGTGTGTCTTTTCTCACTGGAATGGCCACCTTTCAAGGGTAGGGACCTGTTGTCCTCACTGCTGTACTCATGTGTAAGTGCCCAGGATGTAGCAAATGTTCAATAACTATTAGTTGCATAAATAAATACTGAATGGATGAGTTGTACTAAAACTGTATTTTTTCTGTATGACTAATATGATTCAATCAGCCAACCAGTATTTATAAGCACAAATTCTGCGCCTAGTACCATAGTCCAAATACAGCCCTTGCTAAATGCAGGGTCCTCCTCTAAGCACTTTATGTGAAGGAAGAAACTCTTTTAATCTCTATAATAACCCTGTGAGGTGGTCTGAAAGAATTAAAAAGCACACATATATACATACATGTATATATACATATATATGTACATACATACAATGGAATGTTATTCAGCCTTGAAAAGGAAAGAAATTTGTACATATGTTACAACATGGACGAACCATGAGGACATTATAGAGAGTGAAATAAGCCAGTTGCAAAAAGATAAATACTGAGTGATTCCACTTATATGAAATACTTAGAGTAGTCAAAATCATAGGGACAGAAAGTCAAATGGTGGTTGACAGGAATTTGGGAGAGGAAGCAGTGGAGAATTATTGTTTCGTAGTATAAAGTTTCAGTTTTACAAGATTAAGATTTATGGAGATGGATGTTGGTGATGATTGCACAACGTTATGAATGTTTTTAACATCACTGAGCCATACACTTAAAAATAGTTAAGATGGTAAATTTTTTGTTTTGTGTATTTTGCCACAATAAAAAAATGAGGAAAAAAAGTGCTATTTGCAACTCAACAGAATCCATTTATAGCTTTTTGATTCCCCATGGAGGATATTTCACTAACATTCAGTTGGTATAAAAGCAGGCATTTCCCAGAGGGATAATCAGAGGAGGCATAATATCCTCTGCAAACTTCAAAGGATATGAGAATGCCTATAAGGTTTTCTGTTTTGTTTTGTTTTCTGGAGCTTTTTTTTTTTTAATGATGATGGGGGAGGAGGCAGAATATAAACAAACCAACTTAAAAAGCTTTAAAGAAACATCTATTTATTGTGTACTGATTTCTCTAGTATAATATATTTTATACTAACTATTCTCCAAATTGGTTACCAGAGTTAATAATGTAATTTATAGTTAAGTATTATGCCAGATGAAGAACATAGGCCCAAGTTCTACGTGAGTTAGATGTGGCTGGAGAGGTTTGATCAACAGAACTCCAGGAAGTGGGGTGGCGGGGTGACTAAAATGCTGAAGAGGATAAAAATAAAAAGCAAGGGAAGGGGAGAAAAAAAGTGATTCAAGCCCTGGCCTGTGTGGCTCAAATGGTTGGAGCGTTGTTCTGTACACCCAAAGTTTACAGGTTCAATTCCCCTTCATGGTCCTGGCTGATGTTTCTCTCTCTCTTCCCCGCTCTCTAAAAATCAGTGAACATGTCCTAGGGTGAGGATTTAAAAATCACACCTGCAAGTCCACACATTCCTCACTGCCCTCCACGCCTTGTACACAATCATCCACCTTAAGTGGGGCTTTGTGGACATAACCACTCTTTTCCTAGCCTAACGTTGCAGCTCTCTGCCAACGTTCCCTTTGCCTCCTGAGGGCCTTTATGCAACTTACCATACGTACTGAGTTTCTAACAATAGGATTAACTTTGGGTGAAAGAACACTGTGTATTTTGGGTGTGGGTCACTGTTTGCTGTTCTGATTGGCAATGTACACAGTGACTTAAGCAACGCCTCTTTGGGCATTTTAGTTTAGGGTGTGGCACAGTTGTCAACGCTTGGTTTTTCTTGAGGGCAATTAGCTGAGAACTGGTTTCATTCAGTTTGCTTTGGTTTGTTTGGACCAATGATTTGCTCAAGCAGAAGGTGCTTGCCAGCGACATGGAGACAACCTCAACAGAGAGGTCAGGTTGTTTCTCTGCAGGTTCTCCTATAAAATGACTAGAGGCCCGGTGCACGGGATTTGTGCACCGGTGGGGGGCATGGCCTGCAGGGATCGGCCTGCTGTGGAGCACTGCTCATCCCGGTCTGCCGTCTGCCGAGCGGCTGTGGACCCGTCCTCTGAGTGGCTGTTCCCTAGTCCAGCATCTTCCATGGAGCCAGAGCACTGGCCTCTCCAGGGGACCCAGTCAGGGACAATAGCACTGAGAGGGGGTGGAGTAGACCTCTGTCCCACAGTGGCCACAAACCCGCCTCCCAGCCTCTGGGATCAGCTATGCAAGCCCGGTGGCCGCTGCACGGCCTGTGGGCATCTGGAGGTGGCAGGGAGCAAGGAGGAGGAGCCTGGGGTGAGGAGGCGAGGATTGCAGCCCGGGTTCCTGCCCATGGGCCCAGGGTTTGCAGCGTGAGCAGCCCTCATCCCGGTCAGCAGAGCCAGTGCTCCTGCTGTGGTAGCACACTGACCACCAGGGGGCAGCTCCTGCATCCAGTGTCTGCCCCCTGGTGGTCAGTGCGTGTCATAGCGACTGGTCGACAGGTTGTTCTAGTCGTTCCGCCGTTCGGTTGATGGGCTTTTATTATGTAGGATACCATTGACAATCTTTTCTACACCATGGTGTCTTGGCATCTGGTCTCAGCTTGCTCCAAATGCTCCCTTTGTGGCATCAGGGAGTCCAAGGACTGATTTCCTCTCGCTGGAGCAGCAGGCAGATGCTGAGAGCAGGGGCTCGGTCATGGCTACATAACTGGAACAGCCTTGACGTGCTCTGGGAAACAAAAATGATTGCTGAACCCAGAAACATATGTAAGAACATTTTCTCCCCTTAAATCAATAATATTATTGTGAACTTTAGCAAAACAAAGCAGTGGTGCTGACTCAGTCTTCTGAGCATTGGCCCTGAACCTGAACCTGAATGTGCTTTTAAACTGAGTTAAGGGTTGAAATGGCGAGTGGACTCATGTAACTCTGTTTATAGCTATCTCCTCCGTTCTGGCTTTGTCCCAGAGATTTCCGATGGCTCCGGTGGAGTCAGTATCTCTGATGTGTTTGTAACTGACCTCTAACCCACACGTCAGTGTTATTTTCAGCTGTTCTTTGACAAGGGGTCCAACAGCTGCTGTTTAATACCACAGACAACTTGTGACACACTCTGAGTTTCTAGCAATAGGATTAATCTGCCAGTCTTGGGCTCTGATTCGAAGCTGTCTATAATTTTCCTGCACAGGCAGTGGAGGGAGAATAAAAATAAAACCTGAAGTACAGTGTTATTTTTTATTTCATTGTAGAAAAATACACATAGTGTTAAACTTTAATTAAACAAAAACATTCTTGCTGCAATTAAAAAGTAACAGCAAAGTGTATTACTTCTTAGTATTTGTGATAACTGAGTTTTAAAATGCTGTTCAATGGAGTACAGTAGTCACAAATAAATCCTGAGATGGTAGGTATCTACTGATAGATGCTTGTTGAAATATTTTTTAAATGCCCCTAACACATCTGAAGCTATGAGAAAATGTAACTATCCCACATAAACTTTATTTGACAAAAGGCAGTAAGTTTTAGAAAAGCAGATTAATCTAAAAAGATATATTTCAAGCAGTTTTATGGCTTGCTTAATACCAAAACAAATACCAGAACTTATTTTTAAAGTACATTTTGAAAGCTTTTTTTTTTTTTTTGGCCTAAAAGAGTCTTCAAAAGTCCTGAAAAGTTGATATTCCAGTCAATGACTGGCTGGTTTCAAAGTCCACTATAACGAGACAGATTCAATGGCAAAACTAACTTGGGTTGTCAGGATGTAACTTTTTTTTTTCCATTTGCTATCAAACATCAGCTGATAGGAAGGGAGCTAGAAACTGCCCTCTACATTTAAGATAATGGCAAAAATAACAGGCGCTCAGTGTTACCATACTAGGGGTGTGGCGATTCTCTCCCGTTCTCCTCTCTCTCTCTCGTGATAAACTCAATGGGGTTGTCTATTTTTAACCTCCTGTTCTTTGCTTCTGGCAGAGCAATCAGTGGGAGCTGAGCTCTTCCCCTGAATGAATCCAAGTAACCCCGGTGGTTGCCTTCTGAAATGACCAGCAGACGCACATCTGTACAAAGGCTGCCCGGAGTGTAAGCGGCACCTAAGGGACCATGTCCAGCCCAGGAAGCCCTGAAGTGGAGTTTTCTACCACCACCGTCAGCTCAGTGGCTGTGCAGGCTGGGGACTCTAAAATCGTTATCGCTGTCATAAAGGTAAGCTGACAACTTTCTTTTTTCCGTGTGGCTGTGGGCGTCTGGCTGTGGGCTGATAATCCCGAAGAACATTCCACACAATCAGCAGTACACGGCATATAGGAGCTAACCCAGCAAGCACATCTTACTGCTTTCTTAAAGCGGCAGCGAAGAGAAACCTCTATGAAGCGTCAGCCAGTTACTATAGTTTCTCTTTCAGTTAGTGAGGAAACATGTTCAGCAGCTTGGTGAAAAACAAAACAAACCGTCTATTTTCAATCTGTTTTTTTTTTTTTTTTTAAGGCAAGGCATGGGTGATTACAGATTCATGCTTGCCAGGCTGAAGAGGCAAGCGGACCTATGAAACACGAGTGGTTTTTGAGAGGGGGTGGTGTGCTGGAAGAGGGAAGGGGAGAGCCTAGCAGATAGGGGGTGGCATTGTTTCGGGCAGGATGGGACCCAGAGAACACCTGACAAGGGGCTCTGACTCATGCCCTCCTTTGCTCTGCTGGTGACACGGTACAGGCATGGGCAAATCCTTGTCATATTGCTGAGTGAGACATGGAGACCCTGCCAGGGAAGGCGCGAAGGGCATGTGTCAGATTGGCTCTTGACAGCAGGAAGTTGAAGCCACTTCAGGCTAATGTTTTATGCCATGTTTTATGCTAAGCAATTTGTCCATTTGCAAAGATGATAGCACATCTTTAGGTTGAAGACGGTAACTGTGATCTGCTTTCCTATGAAAATGACCTGCAGAATCCTATGAAGCGTTATGTATGGATCTAGACAATTCACCACCTAAGGCAGTGGTCGGCAAACCACGGCTCATGAGCCACATGCGGCTCTTTGGCTCCTTGAGGGTGGCTCTTCCACAAAATACCACGTGTGGGCGCACACATACAGTGTGATTGAAACTTCGTGGCCCGTGCCCAGAAGTCGGTTTTCATTGTGGAGTGAAAGAAGATGTAGTGTCGAGGATTGAGAAAGGTATGTTGAGATGGTTTGGACATATAGAGAGGATGAACGAAAGGAGATAGACGAAACAAGTATACAAGACGAGCGTGGATGGGAGAGTTGGAAGGGGTCGACCTCAGCGAACGTACCTCAATCAGATTGAGGACGTTTTTAGCAAAGGCCAGCTTAGGAGTACCCTAATGAAGTTAATAACAATGTACCTACCTATATAGTTTAAGTTTAAAAAATTTGGCTCTCAAAAGAAATTTCAATCGTTGTACTGTTGATAGTTGGCTCTGCTGACTAATGAGTTTGCCGACCACTGACCTAAGGAATTCAGTGTTTAATGAAGGGAACCGGGCAGACAAGCTGGCGCTAACCAGCTGGTTACTTTCCAGACGCCGTCAGGCTTCATCGAGTGACTTTCTGGCCTTTTGTTAGTGCATGGATGCATGGCAAGGCCTGGTTAATTTCACTGAATTCTGTGAATTTTATGTTCATGCGGAAGTGATAGCAGGAAAGCAGCACTTGACATTGAGCAGAAGGATGGGCTCCGGGGCACCGAAGGCCGCGTGTCCTGGCGGGGCTGTTTCCTGGGCTGCGGGGACTTGGCCCCACATACGCAGGACCTCTGCCTGTTCCCTCGCCCTCTCGTCTCTTCAAAGGCAATGAGTGGATGTGGAAAAAAGCCTGAAACAAAAGTAGCAGAAATTGATCACTTGCATGTGATTTTGTGTTGCTTTGAGTATCTGCAAATTTCAGCAATGAAGGAAAAGAAGCAAACTCACTGTGTAAAAGAAAGTTAACATTCCCTCAAATATGAACTATTTCTTAGAGCAGGGTAAGGAATAATGCACATGGAATAAATTATAGGAGAATCAGAACTAGATTGACAGAAAGAAAAAAAAATCTCTAAAATCACACTGGAAATTCTTAATTTAGCCAAACTGTGTTTCTAAGAACATTCGTTTGTCTCCCCTCCGCCGCTCCTTAAGCTCACTGCCATCCCATATAAAACAAACCCCAACTTATTCAAAGTGCAAAGTCCATCTTAAAGGAAAGAAGTGCCTACCTCTGATCTATATGGGCCTCTTGTTTCTACAGGGTCTCAGGGCACTAATTACCTAGAATAGACATGCGTTTTTCTCATTTCTCTTCAGCAGTTCACCTAGCCACGGGCATGTGCCTGCTCATGGTACCTGTTGCTTCATCAGTTGTTGCTTCTTAGAGAAACAATTCCTCAGGAACGGCAATGAGCAGTTGTGCCTAGAGCAGTGAGGGAGTCCTAAGTGTGGAAAACAAATCGGCTGCTTTCAAATGGCAGCTGTCACAGGTGTCTGATTTTATTGACATTTTCCTACTTACTTTACTGAGTACCCAACACCAAAAGTTGGAAAATATTATGTTTTCACTTTGAAATAAGCTGCAAATCAGTTGTTTCAACTGCTGCTTAGTCTTTCTGATTAAACAAGTAAGGTCAATGTAAGGACACTGATCAGCCAACATAGCATCTACAAAACCTTCCCCTTGTGGTGAAGTTTGCATTCTACCTGCCTGAGTGGAATATCACTATTTCTATGGAAAGTACTTTTGTGAGTGAGAGAATGTACAGTTATGTGAATTGTTTTGTAATTTTGTAATATTCAATAATATATAATCTATTGTATGTGTTCCTCATTTGGGAATGTTAAGTTTAAATACAGGGTGCCAAGAGAAAATCATTTATCTTAAGAATTAAAAAAAGAAAAGGCAAGGCATGGATTTATATTAGACCTGCTATATTTCAATTTATTAAAGCCCATCTCTATGGAAAGAATAAAGTGTTCATAGTATAACTGGAAACTTAAAAAAAAAAGAAGAAGGAGAAGGGTGAAGGGGAAAGAACAAGAGGAACTAAAAGTGCTTTTCATTTCATTTTTATTTTTAGTGTGGCAAATGGGTACAACTTCAGCTTGCTGAGTCACAGCCCAATATTTTAGAAATTGGTAGCAGTCAAGATGAAACCAAGAAACTCCTTCATGATCATGAACTTCTTTTGGCCAAGCTCAAGGTAAGAAAGATATTAAGCTGCGACACAGATACACTCTGCACAGAAATAAAAACCCACATCTTACACGTCCTCTTGATCCCTCTGCCGTCACTGGCTGCTTTAACAGAGTGCCAGGTGGGTCCTGGGAAACACTGTAGTTACTTATGAGCAAACACCAACAGAGGAGAGAAGTAACAAGATTTTTTAAAACTTTCCCAATGTGATAGAAAATATGGAGCAATAATATTTTTATTGTAGAGAAATAAGTAATTTTTTTTTTCCTGGCTGCCTCAGTGAAAAAAACAAATCCATCACTTTTCCATTTCATACATCAAACTATCAGGTCACATCAACAGGTCCAGACTTTCTATTGTTAATGACACCTGCCAGCAAGAATAATACAGCTGGTTTTCCTTCTGTTGAACTAGTGAAAATATCTGATTTTGTGTTTAATATGAAGAGTTCTTGATACCAAATAATACTTTTAGTAAAATCAGAGTTATTATTCCACATGTATTGTGGTTATTTAGTTAAGAATCTAAAAATAATATTGGCTCGTGATGTCCAGATAAGGTATCTAATCAGGGCCAGCTTTATCATGTAGAAGGCCCAGTGCAAAATGAAAATTTGGGCTCTCTGTTCAAAAAGCAGGATAAAGCTTTTTCTTGACTAGTCATGGTGTTTTTTTGTTTTGTTTGATCATATATATATATTTGCTAATTAATGTCTAGCTCCTTCAGGCATGAGGATATGTGCGGGGTGAGTACAGACTCCCAGGCACTGGGCCTAGGCCCTGGCTCAGTGCACAGGGTGTAGGCTTGACCCCTGCTCTTCCGGAGCTGTGTCCTGACCCAGGCCAGGGTAGATTGCAGAGGTCACTAAGCAGGGGCAGGGAAGCAGGCAGGATAGCATAGAGACTATGCCCAGGAGGCAGGACCGCATGTGCCCCGAGGCTCTGATCCTCCATTTCTTCCCTGTTGTCCCAGTGGACTTCTCTCATAAAACACAAATTCAAGGCTAAAATTATTAAGAATTTTAAGACAGTGATAGGTAAACCATTAAGCCCCAAGTGGTTTCCCCTTCTGAGGATGGGGCTCTGGGATGCAGCCAGCCCTGTGAGTAATAACCATCATAGGCAAGTGAATGCCATTCCAAGATCAAAGAGGTTTGATTCAGAGGCCCAGGAGGACTAGACGTTCTGTGTTTTTAGTATTTTAATGTTACTGGTTTCTTTGAACATCTTGGCTGGAATTTATACTCACTTTCTAGATTTAGAGGCAGATCTGATCTGCATTAGAATAATACTAATAGTGGTTTTCTGATTGGACGGTAGTAAAAGTAACTGAATAAATCAGACTGAGAAGTTGAAGAAAGAATTAGTGCTGAAGCAGGGGCCAATGGATTCCAGAATTGATTTTCTTGTTTAGACAGCTCCTAGCTCTGGGTTCTGGGCTCTGGGCTGTCCTTCAAGGTAGAAATCTCTGGCCACTAGGAAGTCCTTTGTATATCTATAAAACCACATTATAATGTGAAAGAGCATTGACCCAGGAATCAAAACAGCATATGCACCTGTTTCTGAAATTAATCTGGACTTGAAACTACATCTTTTCTCCAGGTCCCACCAACAGTTGGTACCCAGCCATCATTTTCAGGTTCGCTGAAGGACTGGGTGGTGGTGGAGCTCATGGCAGTCTGGGTCTCTCAGGCCATTCTTTCCCCACTCCACTCCATTCCTGTCCAGGTCCACAACTCCAGGGAGAATGCTTTCTTAGGTGCAGTAATTCAGCTATCCCCAAAACTCTTCTCAAATTTGCATACTTAGATCCAGGAGCTCAGCTGGGAAATGGTTTTTCATTTAATAGGATCCATTGTCAAAAAGTGCTTATTGTTCTAGATTCTAGAGTTGTGTCCTTTTAAACCAGTCTTCTGGCAATGGACTAGCCTTCTGGATTCCAGGCTTTTTATCTGTGAGATGATGGAAACTTCATAGTGATTGTATATCTTACCATAATGTATCATGGGACTGTGGGAACATACTCCCTCTTTGCATGTGGGTTTAGGAACACAAGATCTCAAGTGAAAAGGGTTTTTTACTTCACATGGGCCTTTAGCCAATGACCTCTTAATGTTCATCTCGCATACCGTTGCCTACCCCACACACCACTGTCAACCCAACCCTCCATCCCAAAGAAATTTGAAATAGTAGCATCATTTTCCAATATTACTGGTTTTGACAAAGTTAAAGGGTCTGGAATCTGTTCCAGATTTGATGATAAAAGATTTTTTTAAAGAACAAAAAATGTGAGTGTGAATTCACTTTTGAAAATGAACAGATCAACCAATTTACTAGTTATTATGCTGCCAGGGTAGGCACAACCTTAACCTATAACAGAAAGTTGTTGGACCCAACTTAGTTTTAATATGAGCTTTTTAAATGATGGGGCATTAGTAGTTCAATAAGCCAATAATATTTAATGTTTAATGTTCACTCCAGTCTGTTTCTTCCTGCAATTTGTTCTAATTATAAAGAAGTGCAAGGTTACGAGTATTGGGAGGGTGTAGGAATTCAGTGCTGAGTCCACTCGGATTTAAGCAAAGCAGTTAGCCTCTCTGGGTTCAGGTTTTTTCTTTGAAAAATTACCGTAATAATAGTTATCTTCAAACAACTGAAAAGGAAATTTTGTGGAGAAATGCAATGATGTATGAAAGTGCCTGTTGCCTTTAAAAAGGTGGTATAATTGTTCTGTTAATAATTAATATATTGGTATAATTTGCATGTTTAATTTGATAGAAAAGCTATTTTCTCCATTCCATTGAAAAATCATCTCAAAACCTAGTAATTTAGACTAAAGGAAAAAATTCTGGAAACACTGAATTTTTTTGAGTGTTTCTAATGTTGATAATGTCTATCTATCCCCCAGAGATCTTATTTCCCTTACAGTGGTGCACTTAACTCCAATGGAGTATCCAGGGAAAAAATATTCAGTGGGGAAAACGTAATAACGTGCGAAAAGCATTAACTCCCAAGGGCACCTAGATTCCCAGACCACACTTGAATTGTTTATAATGAGAAAGAAGGAATTTGGGAAAGAGAAGAGGGATGTACGCCAGGTAAAGAAGATCTGCCTGTGGCCACTATGACATTGCATCCTCAGGCGATTCAAGGAGGGAAAGAGGAGTTGGAAATACCTCAGGGATGTTGTTGAGAAAGTTCTTCCTCTCCAGAGGAATTTCAACGATAAGAACCAAGAAAGCCTCTGGCACTGGCTCTGTATTTGTAGATATATGAATATGTATGTATACAGTTATGTATATTTGTAGATAATGTGACTTTCAGTGAAAAATGACCCTTTAGAATATAAAACACTAAAATATTTCACCTCTGACTTGACTAACACATCTCTTGGTTCTCTGATTCTGACTAAATCTCTGAGCTAATGAATGCTTATTTTTGTCCTATTTCTGGTTACGTAGCTAGAAAGGAATAGTCAAACTATATGGTAGTAAAGATAAAAGTCTTATTAAAACTTGCCTTAAATAAGGAATAGTGTGGTTTCCTGTTATAAACTGGAGTTTTTACTAAGAATTCATTGTTTAAAATTTTTATTGTGCTAAATTATAGGGTGTCCCTAGAAATGTATACACACTTTAAATGATTATAAAGTCAGTGTTTATTAACATACAGTTCCTTTTCAAAATTTAAAAGAATCTACAGAAATGAATAATTTTTTTGGTCAACACCTGTTTTCAAACTGATGGCCATTCTGGTCCAGGCACTGCTGATAACGCAAAGCAATTGAATTGCAAATAACAAGAATCATTTTTTTCCGATATTTGTGTGCCCTCAATTCATAGACTGTTGCTGGTTTTGTACCATAAACTTTGTCTTTGATATATTCCCATAATAAAAGTCTAGTAGATCAATTTTCTTTGTTTAAAGCTTAGTCTGGCTTCACCCATTGTTTGAAATCAGTTAAACCCGAAAAGGGGTGAAAATTAAGTGAGTTATCAGCTGTTAAAGTGTGTATACATTTTTGGGAGACGCTGTGTTCCCTGCAAAATGTATACACACTTTGAATAATTATAAAGGCAGTGTTTGTATATCAACTGCGTTTTCAAACTTCTGGTAGCATTTTAGGATGAATTTCCTTTGTTCAAAGCTTAGTCTGCTATCAGCTATTAAAGTGTGTATACATGTTTTTGGGATACCCTGTATATATAATATAAAATTTTCCATTTCAACAATTTTTTAAGTGTACAATGCAGTGGCATTAATTACATTCACAATTGTGTGCAAAAATCATTACTATCTATTACCCAAACTTTTTCATTACCTCAAACACTTTGAACCTAATGAGCAATGACTCCCATTCCTCCCTTCCCTAGTAATCTCTAATGTACTTCCTGCCTCTATGAATTTGTCTATTTTAAGTACTTCAGCGAAATGGAATCATAATACTTGTTTTTTGTGTGTGTGTGTGTCTGGCTTATTTCACTTAGTCTATGATGTTTTCAAGGTTCATCCATGTTGTAGCATATTTCAGAACTTCATTACTTTTTAATGAATGAATAACATTCCACAGTGTGGACATAGACCACATTTGTTTATCCACCATGATGCTGATGGACACCTGGGTTGTTTCCACTTTTCAGCTATTGTAAAATGCTACAGTGAACATTGGCATACAAGTACCTGTTTGTGTGTCTGTTTTTAATTCTTTGGGTTATATACCTGGAATTGCAGGGTGATATGGCATTTCTCTGCTTACCTATTTGGGGAAACACCAAAATGTTTTCCACAGCAGCTGTATCATATTACATTCCTACCGGCAATATACAAGTGTTTCAATTTATTCATATCCTTTCCAAAACTTATTATATTCTGGGGTTTGTTTGTTTGTTTTTATTATAGCCATCCTTCTAGGTGTGAAGTAGTATCTCAGGGTGGTTTGAGTTGTTATTTCCCTGATGACTAATGATGTTAAGCATATTCTGTGCTTACTGGACAATTATATATCTTC